AGCATCCACCGAACCCGCACCTCGCTTGGAGGATTCAACTCGATGACTCAAATTTGCAGTTTAAGCTTGTCCCTACAGGCTCCAAATACGTTCAAATGGCCCTCTTTTTCCTCCTTTGCATTGTTCCCGTCATCACAGCGTCAACCTGCGCTTATGTGTTCATGAAAACATTCTACCGGATAAAGTTCAACCAAGTCGGCGTGAGTAAAAAAAAGACGCTCATTTCAATGGATTTCGTCAACAAATTCAAGATCGGCCATGTGGAAGATGGGCAGTCCAGAAACCCCTTCAGACGCCTTGCAAGCAGGTCACACTTCCTTCAAAGTAATTCTGCTTTTGGCAATCGAACTGCCCACCGACGAAAGGTCCTCATTGCAACCATGGAATATGAGATCGATGACTGGGCTATCAAGATAAAAATTGGTGGCTTGGGTGTCATGGCACAGTTGATGAGTAAACAGCTTGGACATCAGGATCTTGTCTGGGTGATTCCCTGTGTCGGTGGAGTGAAATATCCTATTGATAAACAGGCAGACTCGATGTTTGTCATGATCCTGGGGAATTCATACGAAATCAAGATTCAATACCACCAGCTGAGGAACATCACATATGTTTTGCTAGATGCGCCCGTTTTTCGCCAACAGTCCGTCACAGAGCCCTACCCAGCCCGTATGGACGACCTTGACAGCGCTATATACTACTCTGCCTGGAACCAATGCATTGCCCAGGCAATGAAGCGCTTCCCCGTTGATATGTACCACGTCAATGACTATCACGGCTCGGTGGCTCCGTTATATATTTTGCCTGAAACTATTCCCATTTGCTTGTCGCTTCATAACGCCGAATTTCAAGGCCTATGGCCTATGCGGACACAGAAAGAGAAAACCGAAGTCTGCTCTGTTTTCAACCTTGATTTGGATGTTGTAACACGCTATGTTCAATTCGGCGAGATCTTCAATCTTCTTCATGCCGGTGCAAGCTATCTTCGCCTTCATCAACAAGGTTTTGGTGCTGTTGGTGTGTCGAAAAAGTATGGCAAGCGGTCATATGCTCGATATCCAATCTTTTGGGGCTTGAGGAAAGTTGGAAACCTACCGAACCCTGACCCCTCTGATACAGGCGAATGGGATAGAGCCTTACCCAAGGAGAGCGATATTAACGTCGACAATGACTTCGAAATCCGCAGAGCAGAGCTAAAGCGCCAAGCTCAAGAATGGGCTGGTCTCGAGCAAAGACCTGACGCTGATCTGTTAGTCTTCGTTGGAAGATGGTCTATGCAAAAAGGCATCGACCTGATAGCTGATGTCTTGCCTGGTGTATTGGAGAGTCGAGAGCATGTCCAGCTAATCTGCATCGGGCCACTCATTGATTTATATGGCAAATTCGCCGCGTTGAAATTTGATCGAATGATGAAGCTTTACCCTGGTCGGGTGTGTTCCAAACCTCAGTTCACGATCTTGCCACACTTCATCTTCTCTGGCGCAGATTTTGCACTGATTCCATCACGCGATGAACCATTTGGGCTTGTCGCTGTGGAATTTGGTCGGAAGGGTGCCCTCGGTATTGGGGCCAGAGTAGGGGGACTCGGGCAGATGCCTGGTTGGTGGTATACGGTGGAGTCCACGACTACCTCCCACCTGTTAAAACAGTTCAAGTTGGCCATCGACAGTGCGTTAAACTCCAAGCCCGAGGTGAGGGCGATGATGCGCGCAAGGTCTGCCAAGCAACGATTCCCAGTTGCCCAGTGGGTCGAAGATCTCGAGATCTTACAGTCCACATCGATTCGAGTCCATCAAAAGGAACGAGCCAAATCGCAGAGCCAATCCACCGCTGCTGGTGCATATAACGCCATCTACGGGATGATGACACCGCAGGCTACGTCAACAAGATCAGGCGCATCAACGCCTCCATTACAACCCTCAAGTCGCCCTGGTACTACGGGATCACTACAGCGAAGTTCTATAATCTACAGTCGTGATGCAAGCCCTGGGTTCGATGAAAGACCTAGATCGGGACTCAGCCGCCAGATGTCTCATGGCGTTCGGCCGCTATCTGGCATCATTGAGCCTCGTGGTCGACCAGACCTCGGGAAAGGCAGTGTTATCGAGCGTGATGACAGCGCTGGTATAGCCTCTCCAGAGGCTGAAGAAAATAGCGATGATGAAATGATGGCCACTTGCTACGGTGATGATGATTATTCCATGTCACCTGAAGGATCAGACCCAGGGCGTGTACAAAACCCCCAGCCTGCCGGTGTGGCCCTCACGAAAGAGGCTCTCTCGGCCCAACGAGCCAGTCAAGGCTCCTTGTTGGCTCGATGCAGCAACACGCCCTCTAGTTCAACAGCACCAAGTACTGTCGGGACAGATGACACCCTCATTCCTCCTTCCCGCCCATGGGCGGAGCCAGGAAACCGTCTCAGTAATGCCTCAGCTTTGTCTGTCGATTCGGTTGTTGGAGAGAAGAAAGACTTCAAACTTCAAAAGGTCGACCCATTCTTTACCGACAGCAACGGCGAGTACTATAGGGTGTTTGAAAAAAGACTCGAGGAACTTAATGGGGCGAACTCAGACACCCAACTCTGCATTGAGCAATACCTCGAGAAGAGCGAAAAGAAATGGTTCAATAAATTCCGTGATGCACGCCTTGGCCTCAACCAAGGATCCCCAGCTGGCTCAGTGCACCGCGGCAAACCAGGAACGTCCCCAACAGGGTCAGTTACCAACGACGACGCGACATCCCATGAAAGTGGTGAGCGCGAGAGAAAAGATCCTCCGCCGGATGAATTCCTTCTTGGTGATGACTACGTGCCACCAACAGGACTGAAGAAATGGATGCAAATGCGCATCGGGGAATGGCCGGTGTATTCTCTCTTCCTAGGGCTGGGCCAGATCATTGCCGCCAATTCCTACCAGATTACCCTTCTCACCGGAGAGGTCGGTCAGACCGCTACGAAGTTGTACGGAATCGCGACGGTCTACCTTATTACTTCTATCCTATGGTGGTTTTTCTTCCGATACTGCAAATCAGTGTTCGTTCTGAGTGTGCCGTGGCTTCTATACGGAACGGCTTTTTTGATCATCGGAATGGCACACTTTGAGCCCAACTCATACAATCGCGGATGGATTCAAAATGTTGGAAGTAGTATCTACGCTGCTGCATCATCGAGTGGTTCCATCTTCTTCGCCCTCAACTTCGGAGATGAGAGCGGTGCGCCGGTCAAGCAGTGGGTGTTCCGTGCTTGTCTTATTCAGGGCACGCAGCAAGCCTATGTCATTGCTCTTTGGTACTGGGGTTCAACTTTGACTAAAGCCACAAACGCGGGAATTATAGATGTGCAGGGCAGTGTCACCAACACATGGAGGATGACGTGCGTATAACATCGAAATCTTCATCTCGAAGATCAGAGACTTGCTAACCATTGCTATAGAGCAATATGCGCGCCAATCACCATCTTTTTGTGGGCAATTGGCCTCATCGTCTATTTTGGCTTGCCAAACTACTATCGCCAAACTCCCGGCAAAGTGCCATCATTCTACAAATCTGTCTTCCGGCGCAAGATTGTACTTTGGAACTGGGTGGTCGTCATTCTGCAAAATTTCTTTTTGAGTGCCCCATATGGTCGAAACTGGAATTGTGAGTCTCCATTTGCCTAACGGTTCCTACTATATCTTCTCCCTTCAAATGCCTTGGATTGCACTAATGGTTACCACAGTCCTCTGGATTACCCAGCACGCCAGCGCGTGGCAAATCCTACTTCTCTGTGTTGCTTTCTTTGGATTTGTCTGGATAGCTATTCTCTTTCTGTTGGCTAGACTATCCAAGTCTCATAGTTGGATCCTCCCAGTTCTCGCATGTGGTCTGGGTGCACCTCGTTGGGCCCAAATCTGGTGGGGCACATCTGGTTCCGGGCTGTTCCTCCCCTGGGCTGGAAGTTATACATCAGGAGCTCTTGTATCCCGCAGTCTTTGGCTCTGGCTCGGGGTCTTGGACGCATTACAAGGTCTCGGGTTTGGTATGATTCTGCTGCAAACACTGACACGCATGCATATCTGCTTCACCCTTCTGGTGTCACAGGTCCTGGGCTCTCTCGCCACTATTTGCGCAAGGGCCTTTGCACCAAACAACATTGGACCAGGGCCTATCTCGCCAGATATCACGGCTGGTGCGGGCGCGTTGGGTAACGCTTGGTTTTGGGTTGCTCTTTTATTACAGCTCTCGATTTGGTATGTGCTCCCCTATAAGAATATTGTGAAACCTGTCTAACGTTTACATTCAAGTGGTGGCTTTCTCCTTTTCTTCCGAAGGGAGCAATTATCGAAGCCCTGAACAAATGTGGATTTGTTTTGCTGGAATTGGGTGGTATGGATTGGTGATTCAAGCTCTGCAATTGTGGTCTTTTCGAATTTCCTTGCGTACATTGGTGATATAATTGTTGTTTGTTCGTGCGGCTTATTTGTTGTCAAACGTAAACAGCCGAAGTATTTAGTGTCTAATATAATGATATAATGTCAGTTGACAAGCAACAGGCCTGGTCATCGCCACACCCGTGGACATAGTTGGCGTCGAGACCCACTTAGTGGGACCCACTCAACGCAACCTTATTCTAAAAAACACCTTAATATACCTTGTTTATGGTACAGGAGTCGAGAGGTCTTTAGCGCACGTGGAACCAATGGTAAATGATAACTCTAGTGCGCCGAGAGGGCCTTTGAGACCGCCCTTGGTCTCGGTGCCATCTTTGCGACCTCTGGGATACCAGTTGACGACTCTGTCTCTGCCTTGGCAACGGTTCTTGGCAAAACGGAGCAGGAGATGCGATCTGGCGGCGGCAACTAGCCAGTTGGACGGGAAGAGCGGATGGAAGTAGTCGGGGAGTCCTCACTGGAAGACCTGAACGTCCTATCTGTCGTAACCGAAATCGGTGCATATACCCCTTGCTTCGCGACAGCATTGACCATGGATAGGTACCTCCAAAGCATTGTCAGCTATTCATCAACATGGCGACCAGGGGGGTATTTGATAGCTCGATGGACGAGGATGTCTCTCTTGAGAATATGGGATACCAGCAAGAGTTCAAACGATCATTCAGTTTGTTGGATATGGTGGGGTTCAGTTTCAGTATTGTGACCTGGTGAGAATTTCCCTCGAGCTGAGCACAAGAGCCATGTCTAATTCCCACCAGCTGGACAGCCTTAAGTGGCGTCTTCATCATTGGCATCCAGGCAGGTGGCCCACCGGTCATTATTTTCGGCTGGATCGGGGTCTGTGTGTTTACAATGCTCATTGCCCTTGCGATGGCTGAGATGTGCTCGCGCTGGCCAGTGGCTGGAGGCCAATACTCGTGGGTGGCCATGCTCGCACCGCCTCGCGTTTCCCGGCAGCTGTCATATATTACTGGGTGGTTTATGCTGACCGGTTCGTAGCCGTCGAAGTTTGGTGAATACTCGCTGATCTGTTTGCTAGGAATTCTCGCCATGGGCGCGGTCAACAATTCCTTTGGTTCGAATTATATCCTGGGCCAAGTCAACCTGATCTTCCCGGTCTTCGTTATCGAGCGGTGGCATACCGTGTTGGTTGCCTGGGCCGTGGGGCTATTTTCTCTCGCCATCAATGTATTCGCACCGCACGCTTTGCATCGTCTGTCTCGCTTTATATTAGTGTGGAACATCACCTCGTTCATTGTTGTGATCACCACCCTCTTAGCAACGAACCAGCAGAAGCAAGATGCAGACTTTGTATTCCACGAGTTCCGGAATATGACCGGCTTTGGCGCTTCGACGGCCACTATAGTTGGGATTCTACAAAGCTTTTTCGGCATGTGCTGCTACGATGCACCGAGCCATATGACAGAAGAGATGACCCACGCCAGTCGAGATGCACCTAAAGCGATTATCATGTCGGTCATCATAGGGGCTGTAACTGGACTACTCTTCCTCCTGACACTGTGCTTTTGCATGGGTGATATCGAAGCAACGGTCAACTCAAGCACCGGGGTTCCCGTCATCCAGATATTCTACGACTCAACCCAAAGCAAAACTGGGACCTGCATTTTGGCGAGTATGATCACCGTCATCATCATGGTCACGTCTATTAGTCTCGTCGCTGAGGGATCGCGATCAGTATACGCGTTTGCGCGAGACCACGGGCTACCATTTTCAGCCTTGTGGTCTCAAGTTGAGCCGAGGAAGAAAATACCTCTTTACGCCATTTTTCTCACTGTGGCAGTGCAGTTAGGTTTGAACGCGATCTACTTCGGCACGGAGACGGGGTTTGCAACGGTGATTTCGATAGCCACCACGGGCTTTTGTACGTTCACATATTCGACTTCAGGTAACCATGAACCTTAAGCAGCTAATGTGAATTTAATTTAGACGTTTCCTACAGTCTTGTACTGTTTGCCAGACTACTTGGTTATTTCTTCTGGCCCCAACCTTCCTCCTTCATTGGACCACATTCATTGCCGCTTCCGCTGTCACTCGGTTTCAGTGCGATAGGTCTGCTATTTCTGTTATTCGCCTCTATTACATTCAATTTTCCATCTGATGCTCCAGTCACCTCCGAATCAATGAATTACACCAGTGCAGCTATCGGGATTTTGACATTGCTCAGCCTGATGACCTGGTTTACTACTGCAACAAAACGGTTTGCTGGGCCTTCTGATGTCAGACATTTGGTCGTCGACGGCGTAGAAAGCCCACCGACATCGCAACCCGCGAATATGAATTCTTTCTTGTAGGATAATAATATTATATACAATACAAGCCAGATTGGAAGTATATATAGCGTTCACTCCATATTATCATTGATTTGTGAATTGTACCGGGTTACAGCGCAGGCTCTTTGTGGGTTGTCAATTGCAGCATGATCATCGGGAAGAAGTCAAGGGATTAAGCACAGATTGCCACCATTCATCCTCATTGTAGAGCCACTTTGGTCCTAAAGCGACTGGCATATATTGATGTCGGTGTAAACGCTTTGCAGGATTGAATGAAACTTCTACCTCAGAGAAGGTCAAATTCAACTTCAAGATCACCTCCTCCAGTACGCGCGGAAGCAACCTGTTTCCAGACTTGTAAGACTTCATCGCTTGGCTCGAATGCTTTCGGATCATCACCACTAGACCAGGTCGCATTCGCTACTCCATCCCTCACCCTGTACCAAAACTCGTGTCGATTCCAGCCGTTCGTCACTTCCAAAAACATATTATCCAGCTTGGGCATGCAAAGAGCGGCATTGGCAGCTGAGAGATAATACGCATTGAACAACTCGCGAATGGGCTTAGTTCGAAATATTCTGCCCATGCGGTCCTCCGGGGCAACCCAATCTTTATCGGTGTCATCCATCTCATTATAGTCGGAGCCTGGGTCACTAGAGTCATAATCATCCTCATCTTCAGATTCTTGAGGTTCTTCCTTTGCGAACATCCAGTTTCCACTTGGAGTCACCGGCTCGTATCCCAACCACAGATCAGTAAAATGGGGCCAAAAGGGAAGCTGGAGATTCTGATTCTGTTCATCTGTTGGCCAGAATACTTCTTTTCCAAGCACACATTGGGTCCCGCCCATTTCTTTCAATTGTTGCGAGAACTCCCGTAATCGTGAGCCTAGCGGGTCTGTTTTTCCTTTCACAGTTGAAGCCGCTGGGGAATAGTTTTGATCGAAAGGGGCCACATAGCAGAAGTCAAGGTGGAGCTGCCGTATACTGGCAGGCCATAGTAGAATAGAATCCGCGAAATCTAGGTAGATTTCCGATTAGCACATACCCTGCCGGGCATTGTTATATAGCATACCGTTTCTATGGCGTTTTCTCAGTTCCGGGTCCCATTTGCAAGAGTCATTCAAATAAAGCACCAGGCGGTATAGTCGAGGCAACTTCGACACGATGAAAGAACAAGAAGCTGGTTCAATTTTCCTTCTATTTATCGCTCCTATGATTTCAAGGGAAGTGATTATAGGGACGGCCGGGCATTTAACACTAACGATCTCCTTATTGAATTGAAGGTATGATCTTTCGAATCTCTTATCCTGGAAATCATTCCTTGGGTAAGATTCTGCTATCCGCTTCTCCCGCTCCCTCTTTGCCTTAGGGGTTTGACCTAGAAGATCATCGGGGGACCGGGCCTCAATCGAAAGACTAAAGTTGGCTTCTTCTTTTGCTGGCCATTTAGCTAGAGTAATGAAAAGTGACTGGATCGATGTGGTGAAAATCTTGTTATTTCGTTGTATCTCCCCTTCATTTTCGTAGCGCGTGCACGCATCGCTATCATTATAGTATGACTCCAGTTGAATAATCAAATCGACCTCTCGAACATAGCTCCTTCTTCGGTCCCATAATAGCTCATTGAATTCTGCTAACCGCTTGGGGGTGTTGATTTTAAGGGATGAAAATGTTTTGCTCTCGATGATCGCCTGCCAGTCGCGACTGATTGTTGAATATTTGGCTAAATGGAGGTCGTCATGAGAAATGTACTCCAAAATAATGGATGTCAACTCTGGCGGTAGTGAAAAGCCCATATTGTCTTGTTGAGGACAAAGCTCAGGGGTCCTGCAGTCTATAGCCACCAGTGCGCCAGAGTAGGATTCTGCCCATAGTAAATTCTGACCGCCTTATATTTATATCTTTTTCTTAGGACGGGCATTAAGAATTGGCAATTCACTGGGCTGCTTATCTCCTTCATTTTCCTAGCCTGTCGAGCGGTTTGGGGCATCCATTTTGTCCACAGGAGAAAGTCAAAGGTCTGGGTAGTACCGTTTCCATCAGGCCTTGGTATCTCCTATAGACTATGCAGACGCAGGTGACTATGGACTGAGTTTTACGTTCACCACAATAGTCAATCAACGCAGTCACATTTGACTAGAAATTGGTTACTTTTCAGGATAGTGACCAACGAGTCGGTCGGGGAAATTCATCCTGTTCTTCAACACGACTCTTGCTCGTCTCTCTCGCTGAACATCTTAAGGCATCAAAAGTGTTGCTGCAAATATTTGCGGTAAAAAGAAGACATGGGTTTCAACAGCCCTCAATAAGGATAGGTTTCCCTCAACATTTCCTACCCAGCTTATAAGTGACAAAAGCTGAGAAGCCTATAAATACGTCCTCTACCCCCGGGCAATTTGCTCTACAATCAATTAACTTAACTCTGCAAAGTCAAGCTACCTAACCAATATAATAAGATGTAGAGAATGTAAGGAGAATTTATTATATAAATTACAAATCCACGATCATAATTCATTCTCGTTGAAATTCGTAGGCTACCCAAATTATTCAATACCCCATGATTAGCCCAGGGCAAAACAAAACACAAATAGTAGCCGCAACAAGTAGGGGAATATGATGCTGAAATCCAAACGTGACACAAAAATGAATTGCGGCAGTGCCAATGACCAAACCCAAGCACTTGGCAAACACAAAGAACAACTTTTACCACTCAAGAGGCTCGTTCGTCACTTCACCACGGTTGGTCTTGGGAACGGGAGCGGCCTCGACCATAGTCGCGCCACGCCGGTCACGGCGGAGGTAGGCACTGCCATCCAACCAGGGGGTATCAAGGGTGCGCTTGGACTCGAAAGTGCGGATCTTGGACTCCATCTGGAGAGTAAGACCAATATCATCCAGGCCGTTAACCAGGCAGTGCTTGCGGAAACCCTCGACCTCAAAGGCAGTGATCTTGTTACCCTGAGCATCCTTGATCTCCTGGTTGACAAGGTCAACCTCGATCTCACGGCCGGCGCGGGCCTCATCGGCGATCTTCTGCAGAGCGACCTCATCAGAGACGACGACGGGCAGCATGCCGTTCTTGAAGGTGTTGTTGAAGAAGATGTCGGCGAAGGAGGGGGCGATGATGCACTTGATACCGAAGTCGAGCAGAGCCCAGGGGGCGTGCTCACGGGAGCTACCGCATCCGAAGTTGGGGCCGGTAACAACCAGGATCTTGGAGTCACGGTAAATGCCCTGGTTCAGGACGAAATCGGGGTTCTCCTTGTCATCGGTGTAACGGAGCTCATAGAACAGAGCGGTACCGAGACCTGTGCGCTTGATGGTCTTGAGGAATTGCTTGGGGATAATGGCATCGGTGTCGACGTTGGCGCGATCCAAAGGCGCGGCGATGCCCTTCAGGGTGGTGAACGGGGGAAGACCAGTGCTCTTGCCACCGCCGCTAGCAGGGGTTGAAGAGTTGGCGTGGGGCTCGTTGTCGGCAGGGAAGTCCAGGACGTGGTCAAGTTCGTCCTCGGTCTCGGGGGATTCGAACACGGGCTGGACGTCGATCTTAGGCGAGGCCTTGCCAAGGACGGGGCTAACTACGACGTGCTCACGAACATCAGCGAGCTTGCCGACAATGGCAGCAGTGGCGGCCATGGCGGGTGACATGAGGTGAGTACGGCCCTGGGCACCCTGGCGACCCTCGAAGTTGCGGTTGGAGGTACTAGCACAGCGCTCCTTGGGGGACAGGATATCTGGGTTCATACCCAGGCACATAGAGCAGCCAGCCTCGCGCCATTCGAAACCGGAGTCAGTGAAGATCTTGTCGAGGCCCTCGGACTCAGCCTGCTCCTTGACAAGACCAGATCCAGGAACGATCATAGCACGCATAATGTTGGAGGCAATCTTGCGGCCGTTGACCACCTTGGCTGCGGCACGCAAATCCTCGATACGGGCGTTTGTGCAAGATCCAATGAAGACCTTGTCAACCACAACATCCTTCATGGGCGTACCAGGGACAAGGCCCATATACTCGAGAGCGCGCTTGCAAGAATCCTTGCGGTTCTCATCCTCGAAGTCATCGGGGCTGGGGACAACACCAGTGATCGGGACCACGTCCTGGGGAGAGGTACCCCATGAGATGGTGGGAATAATATCCTTGCCGTCAAGGAAGACCTCGCTATCGTACTTGGCGCCAGCGTCCGACTTCAGGCTGGACCAGTAGCTGGTGGCCTTGTTCCATTCAGCGCTGCCGTACTTGGGAGCCAGAGGACGGCCCTTGAGGTATTCGAAAGTGATCTCGTCGGGCGCAATCATACCGGCACGGGCACCACCCTCAATGGACATGTTGCACATCGACATACGGGCCTCCATGCTCAGTCCACGGATGACAGATCCGCAGAACTCAATAACAGCACCATTACCACCAGCAGTGCCAATGACACCGATGATGTGGAGAACGACGTCCTTACTGGTGACGCCAGCGGGAAGCTCGCCATCAACCTGGATGCGCATGTTCTTGCTGCGGCGGGTAATGAGTGTCTGGGTTGCGAGGACGTGCTCGACTTCACTGGTTCCAATACCGAACGCGAGGGCACCGAAAGCACCGTGTGTGGAGGTGTGGCTGTCACCGCAGACGACAGTCGTGCCGGGCAGAGTGAACCCCTGCTCGGGGCCGATAATGTGGACAATACCCTGACGCTTGTCACCCATACCGAAGTAGGTGAGGCCAAAGTTCTTCACGTTCTCCTCCAGGGTTGTGCATTGAAGACGCGAATCGTTCTCCTTAATGAAGTCACCGGCATTTTTGAAATTCTTTCGTGAAGTGGTGGGAATGTTCTATCCGGGGAAAAAATCAGTCCAATTAGTCGTGAATTGCTAGCAGGTATGGGATTGAACATACGTGATCAACTGTAGCCAGAGTGCAGTCCGGCCGGCGGACCTTGCGGCTAGCGTTTGTGAGGCCTTCGAAGGCTTGGGGAGATGTGACCTCGTGAACGAGGTGTCGGTCAATGTAGATCAAGCAAGTGCCATCTT